GATATTCTTCTCGTAGAATCCGTAAACGTGGCAATAAAAGTTTCCAATCGAATTTTTTTGCAATCGTTAAGAGACATTTCTTTCCCTCGTTTCTCTAATTCAAACTTGCCCGCCGATATCTATCGAGCTTTCAACGACTCTTAACACAATACATTTTTTTTCTTTTATATTTCCGGTCTTATATATTTTTTTAGAATCGATTATTCTTAATTTATTGTCGATAAAAGATCTTGATTAAGAAATTTATTCTTTAATTCTTGATTTTTGATTCTTTCAACGAATAAATTAATATTTGATATTAATAAATATTGTTTGATAATATTTTAAGTGAAATTCAAGAATTTGTTTTTAAAAATTTATTTGGAATATATAGAAATATATAATAGAATATATATAATAGAATAGTAGAAATTAAAATTATTTAAGAAATAAAAAGAAAATTAGTAATTTCATTGTTGATGAAATTAAAATTTTACTTGTAATAATTCTAATTATATATTTATATTATTACATATATATATATTCATTTTTTAAATTTCTAAAGATTTGATTCTTTATATAAATATACATAATAAACACATTATTAATAATAATATAATATCTTAATAATATCTTAATAATATAATTTTAACAAATAAATAAAAAAATGAAATAATATAGCAAATAATGGAAACAAATAAATCTTTTAAATAAATTTTTTCAGCAAATTAAGCAACACTTTTTGCATATAAATTTAGAAATAAATTGTCTAATAAGAAGTGTCGACTCACCGTGTGAAAGGGTCGTCGATGCAGAATAATTCGCAGTCGGATTGGCAACCAAATCGAATTGGGATAATTTCATGTCCTCGGCGATTGCTACTTGTCGGGCGCTGTTCCACTTGTAGATCACGTCCCGCTTCGTGTAACCGACTGCAATCAAGAGAATATTTCTTAGCTTAGCTCGTTCGCCAGGGAACTGTAAAAAAAAAAAGTATCGAATTCGTTCTTCGCTTAAGTGTCACCTTTCTTATTCAATGAAAACTCCTCTCTAGGGATGCATCTGTTATTTAAATCTCTTTTTCTCTCTGTTTTTTTCCCAACACAACATAACATAAAAAAAAATAATTATACTGTTATTACGTTACTTAATTATCAGAGAATTTTGTGTTTTTAATATTCTTCATCTTTAGTTTTGAAGATTTCTTACTCTTTTTTCAATAATTTATTCTTTTTTTTAATATTATAAAATTACAAAGAGCTAAAAGAGTTCTCTCTCTTTAATATTTTTCATCTTTCATCAAGAAAAAATAAAGAGTTTTTAATTTTTTAAATAACTTTTTTTTAAATAATATATTAATTATTGTTATTAATTATATATATTATATATAAGATTTTGGTAATGAACAAATTATTTCTTTAAAATGTTTATTTTTCTTACCACTTTTTCTATGTTCAATTTTCAATTAAAGATAAAAATTTTATTCTAGATATAGAATATAAGGATTCAAGATAAAAGAGAAATGAGAGAAAGATTAAGATTCGTGATCTCAGCTTTCTTAACGTTTTAATTTTAACAAAAATTCTTTATAAATGTTTAAAATTATTCTCACTAATTTTTCCTTTTAATTTTGGCTTTTCATTCGTGAACTTACAGCTGCCAAATTGTAGTGGACATCTTTGTGTATCCATTGGAAAATTTTCAAGATTCATTGGACATCCTGCCTTGATCGTGAGCCTAAAATCAAATATTTATATTATATTATTAAAGAATAATCTTATGAGAATAATATATATCAAATAATTATCTTCAACATTTATTCAAAAATTATTATTTTTATTAATTATTCAAATGACTGCAAAATAAATGATCGATATTTATTACTATTGTTATTATATTGCGAATAGAAAAATTTTTATGTTAAGAAACATAACATACAAAAAAATCACAAAATATTAAAAATAGATTACGATATTTGAAGAATAAAGCAAATCTCTATTTAAACTCCATTTTGTCAACATTTTTTACAAAAATCGCAATTTAGTTATCATTCATCGCATCAAAAATCAGATTTCGATACATTTTTTACTCGAAACATTACGTGGATGATATAAAAAAATGAAAAAAAAAATATTCATCACAGGCTCTGTTTAATCGACCTCGAGGATAATCCCGCGTCCATTAGAATCATCCATCTATTTGATACACTCGTAACTGATGTATAACATCCTATAATACTTGGCATATAGCTCAGTTTTGTTCTCCACGCTACGTGGAATAATAACCCTATACCGTGGATCTCTGAAATATTCGATTCACGTTACCTCTCCACGTGTTGTTCCCTATGTGGTATCATTGGTCCGTCGAGCTATTTACTAATTCGAATATAATACAATTTGCGTGCATGTATATATATATATATATATATATACAATAGGTACGAGATATAGAATCGTAATATCGGAAAATATTATTTAGCACCGGTAGAACGAGCATTTTCGAGCGCAACGGACGATGAGGAGCCACAAAGCTTGGCTATTGTTCTTTTGGCACGACGGACAGGTGGCCTATATACGAATTTTCAGGAAATACAGGATATATGGAATAATCTTTCATTAGTAGAAATTCTGTGGCTGTTCCGCGGATATCCTTTTGTTTTAAGCCGTTTCGTGGAGATTACACAGTATTAGATTGATATATAATGAAATATTGTCGTTTCCTCGAATTTGATAGATTAGGACGATTCATTAAATCTTGTTCTCAATTGTTATCAATCGTATAAACCGTTCGATGTTGACAATGTTTCTTTCGTTATGTGTTTATATTATATGAAACACACGGTGTTTCAGAGATAATAATTTGATGATAATGAGTTGGACATACACAATGTTGTTATTATTTGAAAAAAATTATTATTCGTTATAAAATATACTAATATTGAAAATTATCTAAAAAATATTTTGTGATAAATAATAGTTTGTGTATAAGAAATAAAGATCTTAAGAAAAAAATTATTTTGAAATATTAAACTTATTGACGATATAATAAAAATAATCAGATGATAAATTTCTTAATATATACATATATTTTTATTTTTATTTTTCTTGATATATAAAGATTCTAATTTTATTTTGATATCTTGTTTAAATTGTTATTTTTTAAAAATTCTTGTTTTTTTTATATATTTTTCTCCAAAAGTTTCCATATCCTTGTTAAGAAAATTTCAATTTTCAAGTTCTATAATCGCGAGATAACGTAGATTGTGATCATATAATTCTAAGTTTGTTGCAACGTAGTCGTATTACGAGTTTAGTGTTAAAGATGTCTCTAGTATCAACTACTAGTTAGATAGATAGACCGAAGATGATAAAACATATGATACCAAGTTCTAACTAGAATTACAGTATATATGTATATATGTATATATTAAATTAAATTACTGTATGTGTCAGAATATTGTATGAAAGTGAAAATGATAAAATTGTTTTTAAATAATTAGATTATATTATAATAGTATATTATAATAAATTTGAATATAATTTAATTCTCAAGTTACAAGTAATTTAATTTTACATTAGAAGCGCCTGTACTTGGGCAATCATATTAATCTACTGACGTTAAGTCAGTTGGATTACAGGCGTTTCTAATGCGAAATTCAATTGCATATAATTTGATTTTATCCAATTTTTTTTAACCTATATTTTTTTTGTATTTTCTTTATTTTGCACTTATCAGTATCAATATAAATCTAATTAATAGATAATAAAATAAAATAATGGATAAAATTAGATAAATATAACTTCACAAAGAAAATAATAAACACTTTGATATCAATACTTCTTATTGATTGTTTATCCATCCATTTTTATGACGAAATAGTTTTACCAGTTACATATGTTTTTCAACATTTAATCACATAGTTACTATAGCTTAGTCATTTTGATCGAGGTATTGAACATGTTCAACCAAGGATAAGTCTCGAGCAATTTACTTTCGACGATTTTCCACTACATTTCTGGAGTTTTATAAGAGTTCTTTACAGACTAATCTCAATCACGATTCCGATCGATCTTCTTCCAAATGATCGATCGGTTTCGAAGCTTAATCCACGATTGTTGTCGACGACTCGATGGTACAGAGAAAAATCGTACGACGAATGTTTTAAATGTTTTAAAAAATGAAAAAAAAAAATAAAAATATAAAATAAAACATAATTAAATATATGATATTATTATAAATTTTTACAAAATTCTCTTTTATCATTTTATTTTAATTTTTCAATTTTTTCCTCATTAATTAATATATAATAACTTGTAATTAAAATATTTCAATATTTATAATAAGATAAATGTGAGAAACAAATCTGAGAGAAGATAACAGAATTCATTTCCTCTTAGAGGAACCAATGTGAATTAATTAAGCGATTAATTGATTCGATATCGGCATATTTCCGTATTCCATCTTCAGATATGAATCTGAATTTTCTATTATGTTTTATTATAGTTCGATTAAAATTATTTTGTTTTTATTTAAATTATTTAATTTTATTTAAATTTCAAACGCGCCGATATATAATGTTGAATTTTTTCTTGCATTCAATGATATTTTATTTTGTAGATATTCGGTGGATATTCATGGAAGCATTTTACAAGGAGTACACAATTCTTCTATATTTCAAAATTTATTCTCTTTAAAAAAAAGAAGAAAAAAAATAAGAACTCCAATCATATTAAAATTAAATTTCGATTCCTGAATTTCCAAATTGGATCCTTATTTTTATACTAATTTATATAACATAATTTTAAAATATATCGTTAACATATCCAATTTCAAGAATTTCCTACATATTCTTTTCTTTTTTTTTTTCATGAATATTTAACTTTTGTTCAGCCAATAAAATCGATAAACATTGACACAAAATAAAAATTTTTTTTATCTCTCATTATTATCATTTATTGTTACTTTTATTTTCAAAATTACGATTTATTGTTATTTATTTTTTGCTTCCAAATTCGCATTCCCTATTTTCGTTCTCCAATTTTCAATAACACGATTTCAATTTTCCTTCCTTCTATTAATCGACCACACTATCTCCGTTTGGAAAGTTAGCAGGATGATTCTCGATGTCGATTACAAACGTATTCGACTGCGTTGGAAGATGTGTCAAGCGACGTTTACGACTGGAGGAGGAACTTTTCACCTTAATTGCCGGGCGAAAAGCAGGAAACGTTCTCGAAGTTGAAAAGGGTTCGTTGGTACATCAAAAGCACTTGTTCAGCAAGGTGACGTCATCTCCTTTTTCAAATCTTCCTCAAACGATTTTGTAACGTTCTACATGTTTCCGTGAGATAGAATTGTACTCGATTATCAATCATTCTATTCTATTGACTTTTGCATCGAGCAAATAATAGTGGTAGCATGATAGCGTATAAAATTAATAAAATAACGCAAGAAATACTAAACACTTAATATGCTAAATAATTTCTAAGTTTAATTTTTAATAATAGTATAGATTTTTTTTAATATATAAAATTTGTATTATTTATATTTATATAAAAATTTGAATGATAAAATTTTTACTCTTAACGAGATAATCGAATATTATGATTAAAATCTAGTTAATGATTAATCAAATTAAATATTATCCAACGCAGAAATTCAGCAACGAAAAATTCGAGATTTATATTCGGACGATATAATTTGAATTACAAGGAACGTTTGCACCCAACAGATTCGATATTTATTGCACTGGTAGACCCTTTTGTATCGTCGGAGAAATACGCGGTGAAAATAATTTTCATTGTTCATCAGGTCGAATGGATTTCATTGTGGACCGTGTGCAGCCCTCGAGAGCTTTTGACGTTCGAATTTACCGCCACGAACGCGTCCAGAAATATTCGTTTACACGCCGAAAGACCTGAATCACAAAAAATATCGAGAAACCAGAGATTGTTGATTTGAAAATTGAATTGAGAACAACAAATTTCCAAGGCGTAGTTAAAATCTTCTTTGAAAGGATGGAATAAAAATTCTAACCTAAAATAATTACTTATTTTTTTATAAATATTAATATTTAGAGTTATTAATATTTAAAAAAATTAATAAAAATTAATTTTAAATATTAAAAAATTAATAGGAATTTTCAATAACAAAATAAAATTAAGACAAATTTTAATTATATGTAATTATTTATCTTTTTAAATATTAACATTTAAACAAAATCAAAAGAATTTATTATATTGGATTCTTGGTAAATTGTAATTTTTACGTGTTTATTTTTCTATAGATAGATTTAATCTATATAATTAAGTAAGATTTCATAAGCATGTGATCATTTTTTAAAAATGAAATCATAATCTTTATGATTTTGAAAATTGAAAATATTAACTATATATTCTTCTTGTTTTTGATATTGTTATTATTTTTTATCATTTTTTCGGTATTGTTGAATTAATATTAATATTAATACTTTCGTTGATTCCTTATCAGATATTATATATCTGATAATTCGATTTTTGTAATATCACAATATTAAATCAATTTCAAATCATATTGAATTTTATATTAATTTTATATATAAGTATTAAGTAGAAGTAAATATCTATAATAGATTTAAAATGTCATGCTAAAAAATATAATAATTAGCAACACACGATCGTTTATCAGAGTTACGTTACAGGAAACAGAGCAAAAATATCTGAAATTTAAAATCCTGGCTGTATTCCAAATGAGCACGCCACAAATTGAAACAAACCATGATTTCAAATGTATATTGGGAATTCTTGTTATTTACGGTCGGATTTAATATTTTCTAATGGTCTCATTGTCACTTCTAATAGTTTATGATAACTAATATATATTAATAAAATGGAAAACTGTGTTATTATTATTAAAATTATGATTTACATTGTAAATAATAATATAATATACAATGTAAACATAATTTTACAATGTAAAGTATTGAATTGAAAATTATACTCTAAAAATTATTCTATCCTATATATCATATTTGTTAAATACATTATACATATATAATTATATTCTATTTTAATGCTCATATATTATATAATATCTATGTTTTTATCGTGATTTTATGTTAAAGATCATTTAGATCAATATATATATATA